AGCCCGAGTTTAGACGATGATTCTTGAAGGGAAGTGTTTCGGAAAGACGGTGGGAGGGTAAAGGCGGTTGCACAGAGGGAGAGAGAGGATCACCACACTGGCAGCGTGTCTCCTCCTAGCCTCGTGCCGTCTCCTCCTCACGCACCCGGATGCCTAAAACAGAAGGATATATTCCTACAGCCAAACCAGGAAGTCGGAAGCCGGGAGGTCGGAAGTCTAAACCTCCAAAGCCAATTACCCTCATGCTCTCATGCTCGACCAGTGGTGCCTCGTGGCCCTCCTCCTCCTTCCCACGAGAACATCTCCATCCACCATCCATACACCTCTACTACTCTCTCCTCCAACCCCCGTGGGTCGAGGTCTGCTCCCAGCCCATCGCGAGAGGCTTCAGAGCTTCATCACCTTCGGGAAACATCGGCCGCCCACTCATCCAGTCACTCGCCCACCGTCGCATCCCTGAATACTCTCCATGCTCGCCTACCAAGGCCTCGCAATGTACTTGCTTTTGTACCTTTGATTGATCATGATACCCTACCACCCGACGCAGACAGCTCAGCTCAGCCAAGCACGAGACCAGCTTAACCCCACATAATTACAACGGGCTAGGCACAGCTTTCCCTCCACCCCACGACACGAGGAACTGAACCCCTACCACATGTCCAACCCCCCCCGTTCCCTCGTCGCTCACATACTGAATCCGACTCGACTCCCGCAAGCTAGTAAGCCCGATGTGCCTCACTCACGGCGTTCACGCAGGCTCGGCTTGAGAGATAAGCAATATGGCTCTCCCGCAATAATACAAGATAAGCCAGCTGCGTCAGGGACCAACACGTTCGGCGCACTTCATACCAGAGAAAAGATCCGACGGAACTCTGCAAAGACCGTTACATCCCTTCTCACGCTGCTCGACCTGTTTCTAATCTGGCGTGGGGTGCAAAGAAAGTGTACGGGGCTACGGAGAAAGAAGAAACGGTTATATAGCTTGCTACCGCTTTAAAAGGAGAAGCTCGGGACAGCAAAGTAAGAAATGTAGAACTAAACAGAGTTGTCCAGCGTTTCTGAGATCCCAGTTCAAGTTCCAAGGACGTTATCGCATTCCTCACAGTTCCCCCACTGTCGCCCTCCGATATCGGGCTGCAACAGAGGTCGTGGTCCAACAAATTCCATATCTTCTCACCGACGAAAAGCAAAAACCAGTGACAAGCCTACAAGCCACCAAGCTGCGCGCGGGAAGTTTGGCCTAAAAGTGGATTCTTGACTACGGTACATTTTCTCTCACATCACCACCCCATTATCACCCTTGTGAAATTTTGCGGTCTGAAGGTGTTGAACATGGGAGGCAAATGCCTAGATATGCATTGTGTGTGGGCGGCAGGAGGTAAAATTTGCTCTTGCCCGCTTTGGAGATAAATCCAAAAGAACAAGTGGAACAATGCCTCAATAAACACACGAAGCAATCATGATCCATGTTGCGAAAGTCTGGCATCCATGCTGATCCATGTATACACTATGCTTGTTTAGACCTTGCTCTTAGCAATTCTAGTTATCAGGATTTATCGCCGCGTCGGGCATCGACAGCCATAGGCGGCTTGGGGATAGAAGATATAAGTACCCAAAAGCGCCGCTGCACATCTCATCCTATGATATACGGATCACCCCTCTCGTCCTCATCCTCAGTTCGCCCTACCGAGCGCCCGGACACCGACGAGGCCAACGAACGACAGCCCCTTCTTCCAACCCAAAGCCAGGCACTCTGGACATTCAGGGAGACAGGATTCGGGTCGCTTGACATATCGCATCTCGAAATCATACCGGCAGCCGTCTACAATCGCAGAAGGAGAGAAGCCAACATGACGAAATTCGCAGCGTTCCTCAAAAAATTGGAGACGGACAATGAGCCGGGCTTGAGCAATGCTCAATTGATGTTGACCAACCACGATCTCAAACCAGGTATGCTGTGGCTTTTTCGAGTCCTCTCCGTTCATTGAGCGTTGTCCATCCGGTTGCCCTTGCTACTTCCCCGCGATTATCCACGCAAGTTGTATTCTCCGCAATTGGAGCGAGATCCGTAGAGATCTGACATCCATGCTTTCTTGGCCGGTTGCAACGATGAGGTTGCCGAACATGTCTCGCGACTCCACCGAACGTTCAATCGCCGTTATCGTTTAAAGATGGCTTGCAGGGATTTGCGCCATGCAGCACTACCTTATTTTTCTGGTGTTCTTTGAGACTTAAGCTAATATTTCTGTTACCTAAGTTGAACCTGCTAGACGAACTTGGGGGCCATGGAATTTTGTTGGGTTTTGGATCGCAGATTCGTTCAATATCGTGAGTTCACAATAAACAAGGCAAATTTTGAATACATTGCTAAATTTTTGGCTACAGAACACATGGATGATTTCATCCTCCATGATTATAGCAGGTCTTTCATGGTGGCAATCATGGCTTTGGTTTGTCTTTCTGGCGCTTGGGATTCTTTTCGACAGGAATTAAAAGCTAACAGGTTATTAGCGTCTGGATCGGATATTTTATTGCCGCTTGCTTCATCTGCTTGACCGGTAGAATTGGTGCTGTTTATCACATTGGTTTTCCAGTAGTGGCAAGAAGCAGTTTCGGAATTTATGGAAGTTTGTGGCCGGTGTTTAATCGTGCTGGAATGGTGAGTTCAATGAATTGCATCTTTATATGTATTTCTCACTGACAGATATCTCAGGCATGTATCTGGTATGGTGTGCAGGCGTGGATTGGAGGAACTTGCGTATATCTCATGATTCGCTCAATATGGCCATCTTACGACACTCTTCACAACAGCATGGCTGCATCTTCGGGCACCAACACTCGGGATTATACCTCTTTCTTCCTCTTCTGGCTATTTTCTTTGCCAGCCATCTGGTTCCCAGTCCACCAGATCAGGCATTTGTTCACTGCCAAAGCATACATTGTGCCAGTCGCTGGAATCGCCTTCTTCGGATGGGCGATCAACAAGGCTGGAGGATTGGGGCCAATTGTGAAGCAGGGGCATACTGTGCACGGAAGTGCCCTTGCATGGGCTTTTGTCAACGGCATCATGAGCTCTATTGCAAATTTCGCAACTTTGATTGTGAATGGTAGGTGACTTCTAATAATTTAGGACAGGGACACAAGCTAACCCACTATCTAGACCCCGATTTTTCTCGCTTCGCCGTGAAACCGAAGGATGCACTATGGTCTCAGTTGATTACTATCCCAACTGGTTTTGCAATGACCTCCTTCATTGGAATCATTGTGTCTTCCTCTTCTACAGTTATCTTTGATGAGCCCATCTGGAATCCTCTTGATCTTCTTTCGAGATTCCTCGGCCTTGGTGGATCCGGAAACCGCGCTGGTGTATTTTTCATCTCATTCGCCTTTGCCCTGGCCCAGCTTGGTACCAACATCGCTGCAAACTCGATTTCCGCCGGCACAGACATGACTGCACTTCTTCCGCGATACATCAACATCCGCCGTGGAGGCTACGTTTGCGCAGCAGTCGGCCTTGCAATGTGTCCATGGAACTTGCTCTCTTCATCAAACAAATTCACCTTGTATCTTTCTTCATACTCGGTCTTCCTTTCATCCATCGCCGGTGTCTTGATCTCCGATTACTACTTTGTCCGTAAGGGCTATCTCGATATCCGCGCGCTTTATTCCGCCAGAAAAACGGGAATCTATTACTTCAACTACGGCATCCACTGGCGCGGATACGCGGCCTACATCTGCGGTATCCTCATCAACGTCGTCGGCTTCGTGGGCGAAATCCAGGATAAATCCACCGTACCAATTGGCGCTACATATCTCTTTAGAGTCAACTTTTTTGGAGGGTTCATCGTCTCTTCGTCAGTGTACTGGCTCTTGTGCAAGTTCTTCCCCATCCCGGGTGTGCCAGAGGCGTGGACGGAGGTTGGAGAGGATATCACGGAGGTGAGCCTGGCGGAGGGCGAGGATGATAGCGTGTCTGGAAGTGGGAGCAGTGATGTCGAGGGTGGAATCGTCCCAGAAGAGAAGAAGAACCCGAATCATCAAGAGACAACTGCTACTAGGTGGTAGAGTGTAGAAAGGGATATCACTGATTGTTGGGTTTTAATGTGTTTCGGTTTTGAGATGATGTTTTTATCTCTATTATTATGTCTTTTTCTTTTTCGGGAGTATGCCTTTGCTGTTTTCTTGGAATTGGTTTACTTGTGCCTTTTCGCTGTCCTTTTGTTTCCACGCCCCCTGAGCCGTCTCTTCTGAACTAGATGTGCACATATACACAAGAAACTATTTCATGTATATGATTTTTTTATCGATTATACCATTTAATTTGGTTTCATTGACTTAAATTCCGCTTTTATTGAGATTAGACGACGACGACGTTGTTCGTTGTCGTTGTCATTGTCGTTTGTTTTTAGTGTATCTCATGATCACGACGTCGACCCTGCATATTTAATTTTGATTAACGTTTCTGCGTTTCTTTTTTTGCGGGTTCTGCTTCTTTTTTTGCGGGTTTCTCCGTGGTTAATTTATTCTGCAATGGCCTATTTTTTTTTTCTTCCCCTTGTTATTGTGGTATTGTGGCTGCCGGTTCCGCGGCCGATTTAGATCTAGATCTTAGATTTAATTTAGGGAGCACAGGTAAGTTGAGATGAAAAAATGGTTGTATGTTGTCATGTACATGGGTTGTCAACGTTCGTGAGAGTTCAAGATCGATATCAATTACTGCTTTCTAATTGTTAAAACGTATAATAGGAAGTAAGCATCGGCAGGGCGCAACCAACTGCAAGAAAAGATTATCTCCCTATCTACCTAGGTACCTACGTCTACAGGTGAAATCTACGAGTCTAGTGAAATCTACCAACTTTATTAATCTCTACATGGCATCCGCATCTAAATAGCCTGGTTATCTAAAAACCATTTCCCCTTACCCAATGCGGTAAGCCAAAAAAAAACCCAACTAGCGCACTTCCACATACGGCAGCAGAACAAAAAAAGCAAAAAATATGTCCCTTCGACCGGAGTCGAACCGGTGACCAATGGATAATCTGAAAGATATTGCTATTACAGTCCAGTGTGATACCAACTACACCACAAAGGGAGGAGATATTCTGGTAGACCTGCGCCGGATTATGTTTCAGTAGTGAAATCTCGACTGTGTATATCGAGAAGCAAACTCTCAAGACTTTTCTCTCGATGCGATCGATGCGAGCGGAAACGGGATTGCGGGTAGTGCGTGGGTGAGGGGGAAAGTGAGTGTTAGGGAAAAGGAAACCAGCCAGATTTATGGCCTCTACGAGAGGCCTGGGAATGAGGCCGTGTTATAGCCTCGACCAGAGTTTGGTCATCTATGAAGGACGGGTCTTGCGATTCAGCAGCCTCCGTCCCCAGACTCTTAACCCCCCCCCCCCACCACCGCCCCTCTGAGTCAAAGTTTTTCGTCCCAAAAACAGCAAAACCACATAGAATAAAATACGGTACCCTATAAAACAACCTTCCACGGAATCTCCGAACCCAATGATGCTGATAAAAGTAAGTAAGTACCTAGGTAAGTAAGTACCTATCAAAACAAGAATGTTTGCTATGCAGTATGTAGAGTATATAGGCGTCGCGATTGGGTATCAAGAAAAGCAGAAAGCGAAAAAAAAAAGAAGAGGAGATGTCTAAGAACCAAAAAAAAAAAAAAACAAATCTATCAACGTGGAAATCCAAAACTTCCCAAGAAGAAAAAGGACGAGCGAGCTCCCCCCCAAAAAAACAAAGAAAAAAAAACCCCCCATTCGTACAAAAATCACAGCAGATATCCGCTCGCTGCAACCAAAACCCCGCCAAAGAAAATAAACCCAAAGAAAAAACCCAACACCGTGAAATACCCGCCAAAACTCAGCCTTACCGAGAATCCTTCAAAATAAAATCTCGAAGATACAAAATAAAACCCTAAAAATAATAAAATAGTAAACAGCAGATGGTTTTAGATGCACTCCAACCGGTTCCGATACCTCCCGATCGTTAATATAAATAAGTAAGCAGCAAATAGACATATCGGGGTTACATGATTATTACACCGTAGTGTAAGATATAAAAAAAAACATAAACAAAAATACAGTTGGGGTATTAGGTATACGCATACACGTAAAGGTACACATACACCTACATCAGCAAAACACATTGTTGTTTTGGAAAAGAAAAAGGGAACGAAATATGCAAGAATATACCAATGAGCCCGTAATGTGTTTTGAGCAATACTCCAGAAACTCCTTCCACCGTATTCGAATTCCATGAAGGGAATTCAAAAAGAAAAAGTATGGGTATTCGTAGCAAACCCCAACCGAAAACGCTAGAAAAAAAGTCCACTTTTGTTGTTGATTTTCTTTTTTTGGTGATTTGAATAATACTTTGCACCAGAGTTCAATTTAGGACCTGTTCCAGTTATATTGAACGTCATTGGATTGACCGTTGATAACCATCCCGGAGAGATTGGTATTCTGCCCATTTGTTGGGTTTCCATTTGCCACACCGTCGTTTGACCCAAGATTCGAGTTGTGATCCTGAACAATTTCATCGCCATCTTCGTCCATCTCCTCGAAATCGCTGAAACTCACATTTGGAAAGTCGTTATTGTGGATCAGGCACCCAATGCAGGTGCAATTATCCCCGCACAAACACTCCATGCCGCAAGATCCCATAGGATAATGGACATGGAAGTATGCGGATGGCGAGACGACTCGTTGCTCGCTTTCCATGTCGTCCTCGCTTGTACCAACATTAGGCGATGCTTCAGACGCATGACCTGGGGTAGTGGGAAGAGGCGCAGTTGGGCGGCAGTGATGAGGGCGAGACAGGGCCAAATTGTCGAAAGTGTCATCAGGAGAATATGACATATGGGACATGGGTGAATCAGGAGGACGCGAATTCTGACGAAGTCCCAAAGAGGGGGTTTGCGGCATGAAACTAGTAGTTTGCATATGTTGCGGATGTCCAGGATACTCAACGTACACTATTGCTGAATCGAGCTGCTCCCCGTCTTGATAAGTGATGTAATTTGGTACCTTTGCGGAATTTGAGACTAAATTTTGTGTTCCACAACAGCCAGCCACCTTTGGAGCACCCGTGGATTCAGAGGGTTCAGAGGGTACTTGAATACTCTTAGTGTTTCGTTCTCGTTGTTGAACCATCATATAGCTCATGTCCTTAACAAAATTCACAGTACTGGCATTATATGGATGAGCTGCACAGCCTAGACAGGAACATCCAGGGCCACAATTGCAGATGAACTCCATGTTTTTGTCTTTGTTATTCTCGGTTGCGTCAATAAACGGTTCAATAGGCGTATTTGATGATGCATTAGTATTTTGCATCATCATCAGCTCTTCTTCGGTCAGTGGGCTATTGATAGTGGTAAAGCCGTTTGGATAAGTGTAGACTGTGGTCACTATCGGCTCCATGCTTTGGAGTGGATGAGGGAACACTGGATACTGTGGGGCTTGGGAATCAACCACAATGGTATTTTGTTGTTGCGTATAGTCCAATGGCAACATGGTAAACGCCTGTTCCAGGGGTACAGCAGGCTGTGCTGATGCGATTGACAAACCAGAACTGGAAGTAACGTGAGTCTGAGCCTCAGTGAATGCCTGGGCCTGAGCAGCGGCCTGGAGAGCAGCCTGTGCCATCTCCCTTGCCGAAAGCTGGTGTTCACCGGAATTTTGATGATTTGGCCCCTGTGAAAACATGGCGTCAATTGGGCGCTGCCACAAAGATGGATCCATCCACTGAGAATTGTCCTCGTCCTGGTACTGTGAGTCTGCTGCCTGGCGGGACGCTCGTTGATTTCCCTGTTTCTGAACATGTCCGAAGCGTTTGTTTAGATCAAGGGTTTTCAATTGCCCATGAGGATTGAAGCTTTGTGGATTCACTCCGACGACAGGTTCGATCCATTCACGAATTTGGGTGTTGGAACCGTCGTTGTTCTCTTGCTTGGCTGCGAATTGAAGTATTGCTTCACCACTTATTGATACGCTCTTGCGTTTGCGATTGTTTTTTGAGATTCGCCCCGCTTCGTTGTTGTTATATAAGGACAGAGGAACCTGAGACAATGGGGCATTGGCTGTTGGTTTCGGGTTCTGAGGTGCGAGTATTAATTTCTCAGATCCCTCAGATCCCTCAGAATTTGCGGCTGCTGCATGATGGGAACATGCACATGTGGATACTGCAAAAGCGGCGATTTTAGAATAGTCCTGGCAAGAGGATTTGCATATTTGTACTTACCCTTTGGTATTGCCAGACTGGCTATTTCACAGCCACAACCTTTGGGGTGCACCTTGGTAGGCGGCTTGTTATCCTCAAGACGTGCCCCATTTGCATCCACAAATGTTGTTGTACCCACTGGCCCTAACTGATGGGGGCAAGCACCTAGGAGGCGTCAGTATCACTTGGAACAGCCAAATCCGCTATGGCGTTTTTTCAATGAAAACTCACTCAGTGGTCTCCCTGGTTTCCGGACTCGAACCAATAGCCTATCTTCATGAGCGCATTTCGATGATCTGTGACCTCGCATGCACGGTTCACTGTTGGGGCAGTTAGGGTCAGAACAAGCAGCCATGTGTGTGGACTAGAAATTTTACTCGGAAACGTACCATGCATACTTGATGCCATCGATGATTGGCATTTTGAGCTACTTTTTCTTTTTTTTCGTGTTTTGAATTTTATTGAAGTGCACGTACCAATCCTTTTGAATTGGTACCCGGTTCCTTTGTGCTTGAAAAACCTAACGGGTAAATTGAGAACCCGGACGTTGTGATTCGATGCAAATCCAATCACGTGTGGCTTGAACCACTTGGGATCAATGAACAAACAAACAAACAACTTCCGTGTGACTCTCTGGCCTCTGGAGGGACGTGGGTCGACGAATTGGTGAGGGCGATTTCACTAGCTTGCTGGTCTTTCCTTTTGCTCGGGAAGATCACGGACGATGGCCGGCAAGGACTCGGATGCTTGACAGGTTTAGACCGACCTTGCCTTTTGCCAGGCCCTACTTCTTCAGAAGGTGGGATGCTCGCAGTTTCCGAGATGCGTTTAAAGTATCCAGGGCGAGTATGGGATCGTAGCCTAACTAAGCCGCAAGACCACGGATACTTTGGCCTGACTGCCAACGGCAGGGACCCGGTGGGTGAAGGAGGGTTTCCAGTAGCGAGGCTGTGGGGGAATGGTTGTTGTGGATGTGTGGATGCTTGTCTGCTGGCGTGTGGTGGAGGTTGTTTGGGAGATGGACCGGAGGGGCGATCTGCGGCTGCTGTCTGTCCCCCCAGTGTGTCTCTAGGGCAAAGGCTGGCCGAGGGACGTGTATGCAGTTGAGCTAGAAAGCGTCAATTTCGAGATTCGAGGGATCTGAAAGTCTTTTTGGTGCAAAGAGTAATGCCCCGTCGGCTGCAGGCCTCTGCGGTGCTTGGAGGGGGGTGGAGGGCGGGGGAGATGGAGGGGGGAGGGCAGGTACATACCTGTGTGAAATGTATCGGCGTGGGATGGTTGATCGGTCAGGAGGGGGGAGGGTGTTCTCGCGCCGGAGGGGGGGAGGCCGGAGGAGTGTGGGATGTGTAGATGTGGGAGGGTCAGAATGAGAGTCGGTGGCAGAGGTGAGAAGTAAGCCGCTGCCGCTGCCGCTGCCTGGCTGCCTTGCCGTCGGGCGTCGAGTATTATCGATGTCGATGTCTATGTCTCCGTCCGCACGCACGCACCGTCCGCACGCACGCATTGTATCATTGCACGCATCCAGCGCCCCGTACCCAGCGCACGCAGCGCAGCGGCTGCCGCTGCCCATCGGCTTGCCCCAATTAATTCCCGTGGCCGTGGCCTAGCGGTCGGCCCAGTCTCGAGCGGCGGCCCCCCAGAGCAGGGCTGCCGACGGTCCAGAGCGGGCACAGCATCGAGTCGAGTTCGAGTCGCCTCTGTGCCGGGCCTGCCTGGCCCGCAGCCGCACCCCCTGCGACGGGCCTGGTCGCGCACGCACCAGCCCCAGGCACGTACGGTACGCACGCAGCACGCACGCATGCACGCACACGCACACGCATGGCCTGGACGGAGCCGTGCGCGCAGTCTCGCCGTGCG